ATCTGTCCCAACTTCATACTCTGAAATGGGTGGCTGCATAATCTTATCTTCCATGGGTAAGAAAATACTACTATAATATTCCCCAAGCAAAGACAGTATGCCAAGCACTGGCTTGTTTAATTCTTACAACAGTATTATGAACTATGTAGTAATACTTTCATTTCCATTTTACAGATTGAGAGACTGAGGCATCGGATGTTTAGGTAATTTGGCCAAGGTCAAAGAGCGACTCAGTGGCATGGCAAGGATTTAAAGCCAGATTGATGCTGATAACAATGTGCTTAACCAATATGCCATTCTGTGTTTCTAAGAAAATCTCTTTAACACCCTTGCTAGTCACTCTCTCCATTTTTTGCATATGTACAGTTATCTGATAAAGAGCAATTTTGAGTCTTATTCACCTGTTTCCCATTCGTTCCACCAAGCATAGTTTTCTTAAGGTTCAGATTCACTGTTCTGACCAGAGCCCAACATTGTTTTCTACATTATCAGTTTACCCAGCCTCCCACCCTAGTAGCACATTAATAGAAGTGTCCAAAATGCTGTGCAAGCATTCAGTGCAAAACTCTGAGCCTTTCCTCTACCTCTAGCTCAGCTGTCCTTTTTCTTTTTTCACCTAGGGGCGGGGGTGGAGGTGGGGTGGGCAGTGACACCTACTTCACTCACACATGCTGGTGAATATGTGATTAAATACAGAGGTAAGTGACAATAGTCCCTGTTGAGAGTTCAAAGCTAATTACATAAATAGTCTTGAAAAGCATTTGAGCCAAAATCGGTTTGGCTCAGTGCCAAAACCGGTTTGGCTCAGTGGTAGAGTGTCGGTCTGTGGACTGAAAGGTTCAATTCCGGTCAAGGGCATGTACCTGGGTTGCGGGCACATCCCCAGTAGGGGGTGTGCAAGAGGCAGCTGGTCGATGTTCCTCTCTCATCGACTTTTCTAGCTCTCTATCTCTCTCCCTTCCTCTCTGTAAAAAATCAATAAAATATATATTTTTTTAAAAAAGAAAGAAAAGCATTTGAAAACTTATAAAAAGTGTCAAGAGCCCTAATGCTTTTTTAGAGACAGGAAAGTAAAGTATAAAAGATGAAAAGAGTCTGGGTCTGTCCAGAGCTCTTCATAGGCATGGGAATGATTGACTAGCTGGGGATGTAGCCACAAACAACCTTCACTTCCAGAATTAAGTGACCAAATGTTTTTAAGTACATTTTAAAAATATATATTATTTTACAGCAAAAAATTGACACACACACACACAGAGAGAGAGAGAGAAAGAGAGAGAGGGGGGGGGGGGAGGAAAGCATCAGTTACCTCCTACAACCCGGATACCCTCTTGTGCACAAGAAGATGCTCCAACCAACTGAGCCACACCAGCCAGGGCTTTAATTACATTTAAAAATTATATTTTTAACTAAAGGAAAGCACCTCCTTCTTTCCTTTGCACATATGCATGTGCCTGTCATGATCAATGTTGAAACATTCTGAGAGGCAGAAACTGAGCACCTAGACCACACTCCACAGTAAGTCTCAAGCACCCTTGGGTCCCTTTTGTGTCATCTATGGTAACTGTTTTACCTCCTCCGATTTCTGCACTGTGAGTACCTGGTACAGTGCCCTGTGTACCTCAGGGGTCTAGCTAATGGAGGAATTGAAAAGGGCCTGACTGGCTGGACACAGGACAAAGATAATGGGAAGCCACTGAAGGGCTTTAAGCAAAGAAGGGTTCCAATAAAACCCAAATTTTCCAAGGCACACTGGTGACTAGTTTGGAGAGGATAATGACCCTGCGGCTGCCTCAGTCAGAGACAAGGGCTGTGTGAGTTATGGTGCTGGTGCTGGCAGAGGCCTAGTAAAGAGGCGGAAACCTGTACCACTAGGGTCTGGGAAGGGCCTTCATGTCCTTTTTTGGGACTGAGCCATCCCCAGCACAGCTTCTGCTTTGCATGGGCTTGGGTAGTTTGCCCTACCTTGCAACAGCCTGAGGCCCCTAAAGCTCACTGCACAGCCACCAGCTGTCCCTTTTCAGTACTCAACACTGCTGTAGTACCTGGCACTATTGTCCCACACCAAAAGCCACTCTTCATAGCCATAGGAGAGATAATATTCTTTGGGGTTCTGGGGATGTGAAATGAGGGAAGGCTTCATGGAAGAGACTTTACCAGTCCTGGACTCTGAAGGGCAGATATAAATGAAGGGAACAAACATTCCAAAATAAGCATACTACAAACAAATGCATGAATAGTAAATTTTCTAAGAGCAAAGACAGTTGTGGGTTGTAATCCCAGCTCCTTTCGTTGTATCATCATAGCCAATTTACACCTCTTTAAACTTCTGTTTAAATTCTTAAAAATCTAAATAATAATATTCCCTCTCCAGAGGCTGGGAAGATTGAATGAAATCATAATAAACACCAGACACATTCTAAGTTTTCAATAAAAAACACAATCAACTATAAAACAATAACTATGAGTCATTTTTTTTTTTTTTTTTTTTTTTTTTTTTTTTGCAAACAGTAGTAGTTAACTTTGCCAATATTTGTGAATAATGGGAGAAAAGTTTGGAAAAGTAAATTGAGACCAGACAAAGGTAGGTCTTTAAAAATTAGGAAAATTTAAAAGAAAAAAATGAGAATAGAGCAAAGTCAAAATTTGTATACAGAGGAGACAGAGGGGTTGCTTTAAAGATGGACAAGTACTTGGAACTCCTTTGTAATTCATTCATGTTTTGTTTATTGTCTAGCACTCTGGGCCTCATGAGCTATAGATCAAGTTTATTTTTTTCCCACTATTCTATATTTAGAGCCTTGTACAGTGCCTGGCCCACAGAATGCACTTAATACACATTTACTGAATTAATGAATGAAACATGATAATGGGGAGGACGCAAAAATATTCCATGAGTACCAGCATAAATGACAGGGAAAAAAATACATAAGATTGTTAGGACAGATGCAATAACGAGTTTATTTTTTTTTAATATATTTTACTGATTTTGTACAGAGAGCAAGGGAGAGAGATAAGAGAGTTAGAAACATCGGATGAGAGAGAGTCATTGATCAGCTGCCTCTTGCACACCCCCTACTGGGGATATGCCCGCAACCAAGGTACATGCCCTTGACCGGAATCGAACCCGGACCTTTCAGTCCCCAAACTGACGCTCTATCCATTGAGCCAAACCGGTTTTGGCGGCAATAACGAGTTTAAATTCTGGACTCTACAAGTTTGAGAAGCCTACAGTGCCTCGCAGTGTTCATATCCATTTGTGGAATCAGAGCTCAGAGCAGAGGTAGGGGCTCGAGATGTGTCGTTGAGGTTAATTAGCATATACGTAACAATCCAGAACACGTGGGAGTACTGTACCTTTAAATCGAAGGCTCGTTCAGAAGTACGGTTGGAGAGGAATTCGGAGAGGAGAAGGTACTCGGAGAAAAGCGGCAGTTAGAACTAGGCGAAAGGAAAGACAAACGGGGTGGGGAAAGGATAGGTTAAGAATATGAGACGATTTGGAAGAGGCTGGTATCAAGGAGGATATCGAGGAAGGAGTGACCGTAACCGAGACTATTACCGAGACTGGGACCGGGACCGGGACCATGACAGAGACCGAGACCATGGTCGTGGTCGTGATCATGTCCGGTATTATGAGGCGTCGCAAAGCAGTTACTCAAGGTAAGATTATAGAGATACTTAATTGATTTGAATCCCCAGAAGTTGTTCGAAGCTTTGACATGGGCCGTTTTAAAGGGTGCTGGGGAGTAAAGTGCGTTTGCAGAGGTAGTAAAATTAGCTTAAGCTTTAATTCCAACTAGTTTATGACTGAAGCCAGTTAATTAATGTCTTAATTATAAAATGGAGATAATATGCCATAGTGTTATTGTAACTGAGTAAGTGAATATGAGTTAAAATGCTTAGAAAAGTACCTTGCTCGTTGTCACGAATTGGCTATGGAAGGTGGTGAATGGCGCTGTCGACAAATCTTCATTTTAGGTCTATAAGAATGGAAGAATTGGGTGAGCTTTTTCCACTGAATAATGCAAAGTCAAATAGTGAGTTATCGTAGCAATACTATGGAGACGTTGGGGTTCAATACGAGGATCGATTCTTCCAGATTGTTCCAGAATCTAAAACTTTCTTTGCCAGTCATGCGCAGTATGATTGCGCGCTTCAAGCTTCATCCATTTTTCCTATAGGCTGCAGCACCTGTATGTCTTTCCTCTGCTTCTCATTGGTCTTCAGCTAGCCTTTGACCCGCCTCTTAAAGTAAAGAGGTTCCCCCTGTTGGATCTTAGTTCTTTTTGCTTTTCTCCTGGCTTGCGGTTGGGAAAGTGGCAACATTAGAGCACCTAGTTTAAAAAGTTAAGTGACTTATTTTCTTCCAAACTAAGTAAATATCAAACAAATTGAATACGGTACCTTGGGCGATGGGGAGGGTACAGTCGGAACTAAAGGGAAGCGTCTTAAGGTTGGAACATCGAGATCCTTTTAAGTACGGACCGAAGTACTTCCGGGAGAGAATGGGCGGGGAAAGGATTCCGTATGTTTGGCGGGTTTCACTATCTTCCTTAATACTTGGTCCTCCTACAGCAGGGGGAGCCGGACACGTGAGGAAGTAGTGACGCCGCCACTGCCTCCACAGGCTGCTTCAGGCTCCCCGATGGCCATGCCTGTGGTGAGTGCCGGGACCTTGGAGCGGGTGCTGGAGCGCCGCTGCTTAAGCAGCTGAGGGGAGGGTCGCTGGGCAGGGGTGGCTGCCGATCACGTGACCGAGTAGCGAATCAGGGGCTGGCCCGCCGGGCTCGGGGCGGGGCCCGCTCTCCGCAGACCCCCTCCATTCCCACACCCGCTGCCTGCGACCTCCAGCTGCAGACTTCTTATTCCTTCGGGTTGTGCAAACTAAGATGCTGGAAAGGACCCTGAGATGGGAGCTAGCGAGAGGCGGGCATGTTGGGGTCTGTCGTTTATGGCTTGCAAACTCCTTTTTGGATTATTTCCCTTTCTGTATAATTTTGATCACCTGAGCTAGAAATTAAACTACCGTAGTTCTTAATTGAAATGGTAGGCTTGGCTGGGTAAATGCCTAGGGAAGAAGGTTTTTTCCCTGCAGGAGAAAACCCCGTTTCTTTTCTTTCTTTCTTTTTTTCGATTTTACAATTCTTTGGAAATGCTGGTAAATTTTTATGTAATGTGAAGAAGTTCCCTAAGTATCTCATTTTTCAAATAGTTCATTGAACTTTATTGTTACTATACCTTTTTTTTTTAATTCAACAATTTGATTTTGGTCATAATGCCTCTCTTGAAAAAAGAACTCAGCACTTTCCAAATTTATTCAGTGGCAATTCTTCCACCCTCACTTTTTTAAAGTTTCTGGCTGTAACATTTTTATTACGGTGAATGTTTTGTAAAATATTGGAAGCCTAAAGTAAGTACTGAAGTACCAGTTTTCAAGTTAAGATTATAAAATTATATTTAAAGTAAGGAAAAATACAGTATATCAAATGCACTGAGGGACAAGTATGTCCTAAATACGTATACCCAAACATAGTGAAAATTAGAAACTTTTGAGCCCTAAGCTTTTCAAATGTAAACATTTATATGGAAGAATGTGGAGTATGTACAGAGCTGCAAAGTGATTGAAATAAATCATTAGCTTCTGTTGGTGATTTTGTGGTTGTGGATGGATAGTGATGTACACTTCTAAAATTTTTCTTGTAGGATTTTAAAACTTATGTAGACCAGGCATGTAAAGCCGCAGAGGAATTTGTCAATATTTACTATGAGACAATGGACAAAAGAAGACGGGTGAGAGTTATAGGCTATATTACTCGTTATTAAATACTATTTCTTTTTTCAATCCAGCCATTCATCTGACTTGCATAAGTGATAACTCTGATATTGAACAGACTGGTGCATTTCAGAGGGAAGGGAGTGGTGGGGAGAGATTAACTAAGACTGTTTATGCATATATACATAGCCCATTGACACAGAAAAGAGTGCCATGCAGGCCTGGGGAGTGGGAGTGGAGTGAAGGGGGTCAATGAGGGAAAAAGGGACAGCTGTAATACTTTCAACTATAAAGATAGGTGTGTGTGAGTGTGTGTGTGTGTGTGTGTGTGTATGTGTGTATATATATATATATCAGCTTTGTGTTTAGCTATCTCTGACCTTGGGCAAGTTGCTAACCTCTCTTAACCTCACTTTATTTTAGGGTGGTAAATGGGAATTTAAATACTGCACTTAACAAAGGACCTAACAAATATTTATTTAAATTTGTTACATTTTCTCAGTCCCAAATAACTTCAGTTTGGTTAAAATAGTATTAGTGCTGATGAAGGGGTCTGACATTATAGGGAATGTTCCCCGATTTGTCCCTTCAATGGAATATATTAATAGATAATTTTTAAATTAAATCTCACAGCTGTGGCTGGCATTCACAAGCATGATCCACATGACTTGGATACTTTTAGTCTTCAAAAGAACAATTTACCACTTTGTCAGCTTTTTTCATTGTAATTTGTCCCTGAGCCACATCTTCTAAGTAATTATTTCAGTATATGCTCCAATCTTGCCTAGGTTTCTTATCAGTACAGAATTGTATTTTAGAGTACTTTCTCAAAAATAGTTAGCAGGCACAGAAGCTAACATTATATCTAAAAATTTATTTTTTAAGGCAGAAGATAAAAGAAGTTCCTGGTACTGATTTTTTTATGACATGAGACCAGGGATAAGGGATGTGACAATGGATGTTTATTGTGCCTTCCTGATTTCAAAATAAAGTAGAAAAAAAAAAAAAAGCAGAGTCAATATATGTGTTGGCCTTTTAATCCAAGATAAATTTTAGAATTAAGCAAATAGAGTCCTGTGACACACTAAACTTCTGTGACTAAAGAGTTAACTGTTGAATCTTGCCTTAGTGAAGCTTTAACTTGACTTATAAAAAACTGCTTTAGCAAGTACTGGTGATTCTTTTGAATTAAATATGCTGTTTAAGTAGTAAAAAGAGCCCATTCTTCCTAACACATACAACATTAAATGGCTAGGACATGAAATGACTGCATGTATGTAAACACTAGGATTAAAGTGTGCAGATAGGGCCTTTTGGAAGATAGCTTTGTTAATTCTCAATTAGAAAAAGGAGGGAGATAAAACTGCTTTGGGTTGTAGGTGTTTGAAACTTGTGACCATTTAATTCATTTAAATACAGAAAGCAAAATTTTAAAACTCTTCCAGTTTGGATGCATAGTTTTCTCATTGTGGCTAAAGTAAAATATAAAAGTATATTTAGTTGCCTAGTTTATTAAGAGTAAACCGTGTTCATGTTGTATTCCAGTGCAAGGGGGCAGGGGAGTAGAGATTGATATAGAACTATGAAAATGTTTGTATATCACTCATAACCTTTCAGTTCATTTCTGTTAAAATGCCTTCCCAAAAACAAAACTATTTTCACCTTTCTTTTACCTTTCTTTTTTAGGCACTGACCCGTCTGTACCTGGACAAGGCCACTTTAATATGGAATGGAAATGTTGTTTCAGGGCTGGAAGCCTTAACTAATTTTTTTGAGGTGTTGCCTTCTAGTGAATTCCAGGTTAATATGTTAGATTGCCAACCAGTGCATGGTAAGAGCATGGTCTTTCAAAGTGTTTCTTTTGTTTTACTTTAATGAGCACTGAGCTATCAAATTAAACTTTTGGTATCCTTTAGACCTATCTCACTCCAGCAGATCAGTAGTATGTTTTGGTGGATTGTGTGATTATAATTTATTAACAGTTATGTGAGAAATTGAAGTTAAATGTGACTTTTATTGATGGAAAGAAATAATTATATATTTTCTCTAAATAGTTGCCTTCTGTGCATAGAAATGTCTCCAAAAAAGTTATACTATATCCCTAATTAATGTGTTTTATTATCTTACAATTTATTAAAATTTCACAGAAGAAACTTTTTACTTTGTTACATGAAAGGATTTTTGGCAACATGGAATTAGGTTTAATACGATATAAGATTAACCTCGAGGTGGGCCCTAATTTTCTCTAGTAGGTTAGGGTGATTTCTTTTTCCAAAGTTTTAAAAACAGAAAGCAAAACATGAAAAAGCTCTGTTAGGAACCCAATGAAATATTAATAAATATAAGGTCTTTATTTTGAATTTAGAGTACACAGAATCTTTCTGGACAGAAAATAATTTCAGTATCTTTGAAATGATTACTTAGTGTTTTTAAAAAGAATTTTTTTTTTTTTTTTTTTTTTGCTTTGGGTGTACATGCTTAACAGTATGCTGAAAGTAAAGAAAGTTTATGAAATGTTTTTGTAAAATATATTTTATTGATTTTTTTACAGAGAGGAAGGGAAATAGATAGTTAGAAACATCAATGAGAGAGAAACATCCATCAGTTGCCTCCTACACACCCCCTACTGGGGATGTGCCCGCAACCAAGGTACGTGCCCTTGACCCGAATCGAACCTGGGACCCTTCAGTCTGCAGGCCGACACTCTATCTACTGAATCAGACCAGTTAGGGCATGAAATGTTTTTTGAGTGTTAAATTATGAGCAATGTCTTTTAAGCCTGAAAATCTGTTTATTTAGAGATGGAAACCAACCTTTTTTTTTTTTTTTTTTTTTTTTGTGTGTGTGTGTGTGTGTGTGTGTGTGTGTGTAAAGAGCAAGCTACTCAGGCCCAGACTACAGTTCTTGTTGTGACCAGTGGAACTGTGAAGTTTGATGGAAACAGACAGCACTTCTTCAATCAGAATTTCCTGCTGACTGCTCAGACTACTCCTAACAACACTGTGTGGAAGATTGCAAGTGATTGCTTCCGTTTTCAAGATTGGGCTAGTACTAGTTAAAGGGAAAAAAGTCCATTTTCCTTTAGTCCATTAGTTTCAGCAACAAGTTTATGTCAATTAATTCATTTCATTGTAGTTTTAATTCTTAGCAGCATCTTTTTAGCAGCTGCCAGTTTGGGTTATTGCCCTTAAGAGCTTTAATGCTAGAATTTTACATGCCTTACATACATTTCACTGATAACATACTTATAGTAATATTATAAACACAGGATCTCTGTACTAACATACTGTGAGCCCAGCCTATTGCAAAAATGAAATCCTTTTTATAATACTATCTACAGGATATCAGCACAACATAATTCTCTGGGAGGAAGTAGAGTATTTTTTTTGGTTAGGTTAATTTTGTAATAGAACACATATGTATTTTCAGTCAACACTGGTGATACAATTTTGGTATAAGGCTTTTTCAAATAAGTTCAAATGAAAATATTACTACTTTTGGTTTGCATAACTACTTTGACATATTAGAATCACAGATAGAGATGTTCAGTGTTACCTAATGTTTTCCATGTTAACATGTTCTTATGAAGTGAATTAATATACTAGAGAGGTATATGTTCTTAGTTGATACCTGGGTATTGGATATATTTAGTGACTTATAAGCAAAACTTGTTATAAAGATTTTTCATGGCAGCTCCAGGTTTATAACTTTAGGTAATGAATGTTAGTGAGTCTAATAGCTTTAAATGGGAGAATATGGAGTGAGAAATATAGAGAGCTATAGTTGGCCAAAAATTAGAAGGGGTGGCCACATGGAAAATTTTTGGTACTTGTTTCCTACCTCCTAAAAATTTAGCCTATTTTTAGAGTTTAAGTCATTAAGATAAGAATCATTGCCAAATGGTCACGAGTGTCACTTTTGTTCTAAAGATTACTTTTAAAGGTTTTTCCAGTTCACCTCATACTTATTATCGATATATATCTCAATTTATTCAAGAACTTATGGAGGTAAAATGTCAGCAATAAACCAGACCCTGCAGAGGGTCTAACAGGAAAGTTGAAAACAAAGCCATTGTTCTCTCTTTGAGACACCCTTAACTTCTAAGTCTTCCATGTGAACTTAAGGCCAAAAATCTCTAATGTATTATCCACCCCCAAAGTAAGTTATTTCTTTCCTGTTTTACACTGTGAACTATATTATCTTTTTTGCTCATTAAAGCCACAATTATTTAATTTTAGGACTTGTTCTTTTATATGGCATTATGAGCAAATAGATTTTTTTTAAAACGTTCTAGTTATGTAGTTAACTCTATCTTTTTAACAATAAATATAGAGAGAAACAGATCTTCATTAGCCCATAAACTTCAAAGTGATTCATTTTATGTCTTAGCATCTAAAGAGAAAGAAATACAGCTTTGGCTTTTGGTTAAATTTTAAATATTTTTTCATTCTTGAATTTGTTGTTTTAATGTTTTTAAGCTAGATGTGCCAGATTTGTTTATATATTGCAGCTCAAAGTTAATGTTTCTTATTACTTCTTTTGAAAACCAGTAATTCACTTAATCTTCCCCATGATCACACATTATATTTCTGACATATTAACAAAATAGAATTAAATAGAAGAAGGGGGTACAATTGGAATTTGACCACTCCCTCTTATAGTACTAACCAAAACTTATGCTTTATTCAAAATGAGCTTACTCTGATTTTGAATTGGCTTTCTAAAGACCACATCTTTAACAGCAGTAGTCAGAGTGCCCAAACACTGCCCTTTCATTTGTGGAGACCAGTTTTAAGTAGAGCTGCATATAACTAGCAATAAGTAAATTGAATGGTTGTATACTATTCATGAACTGAATGTTTTGAGACTTATGTATGAACTGGTATTTTTTTCCCAAAATTCTGTATAACTTTTAAATGGCTGGAACTACTCGTATATGGACTAGACTGTATTTTTGACATGCACATATTTTTGTAACTTGAAAAAAATAAAATTTGTCTTGACAAGTTTTCTCAAGCTCCTTTTAAGGTCTTTTTTTTTTTTTTTTTTTTTTTTTTTTTGTATTTTTAAGGCTCCAGAACAGGTAGTATTTCTTTACCTTATAAGGTTTTTCAAATTTAAAAACTTATAATGTTGAAAACAATGTTTGACAACTTGGACATTGTCTTTTCTCCAGCCCACCTGTTCCTGTTTTCCTACCAAATGTTCACATTCCCAAAATTATCCATTTGATGTAGCAGTGAAGTGTCTGGTGAGACATTGAAATTTTAACCTTTAACAACTAGCTAAAATGCTATGTTTAGTAGGCAGTAAAACCAAAAAACAGTTGGTTTCCAGAAAGTATGGTTCCATTAACTATAATTCTACATTAAAAATAAGTCAACAGACATTTGGAAAGGAGAGGCAATAGCCCATAAAATCAACTACTGTATTTAATGTCTTTAAAGGTGCATACATTTTTCACAATTTAATATCCTTGAAATTGATATGAATCATAAGATGATGCCAAATCACAATTAAATCAGCTATTTTTTTTAAGGCGGGGGAGATACACTTATGTGAAAGAGAAATATTGATTAATTGTCTCCTTCACGCACCCCAACCAGGGACTGAATCAGCAACATGGGTATGTGCCCTAACGGAATCGAACCAGAGACCTTTTGGTACACAAGAGAACTTCAACCAACTGAACCATACTCGACAGGGCACCAATCAGCTCCCCCCCCCCCTTCTCTGTGGTACATAAAATACTGTTGAGTCATATAATCAATGTCATCTTATATTGGTGAAATACATTTACTTAGGTCTGAATTTGTAGGCATTAGTAAAAGTAAAAGCCTATAAGATTAAGAGGCTAGTAATTCATGACTCAAACTCTGTCACCTAGTTATTTGTATTGTATTTTACTAGAGGCCCAGTGCATAAAATCATGCTGGATGGGGTCCAACCTGCCTGCCTCAATGGGGACCCATTGGGCCAGGCCTGCAGGGGGGAGGTGCCGTGTGAGGTTGGCCTGCAGGGTCAGCCGGGAGAAGAAAAGCTCCCTCTGGTTGGTGTGATTCTCTTAATTTGACCTCTACTTTTTGAGACTAAACCTGGGTTTTCTTGTCACTCCTTGACTTCATTCATGCACTTTTGATTTGGGCTTGGTAACCTCACTCCGATATTTAGGGCTCCTGTCTTTGAGTTGCTGTGTCAGTTATAGCCTCTTTAACCCACCCCTTCTCCTTCTCACCCCCTTCCTCCTTCCCCTCTTTCCTCCAGCCCGGTTTATTGCATCAGTAGGTGACTCAACCCGAGTGTTGACTCACTAATCAAATCAGTGAGCATTTATTAATTTGGCTCACAAAAAGGCTCACAACAAAGGTGTTGGGAGCCAATCGGGGCCAGGCCAGCCGGGGGAGGGGGAGGCAGTTGGGGTCTGGATCAGGCTGGTTGGCTGCTGCAGTGTGCATCATAGTCACTGGTTATTACGGTCATTCCAGTTATTTTGCTGTCCTGGTCGCTGGGCTTTTATGTACACTGATTGGCCAGATTATTATAACCACCCCATTAGTACTTTGTTGGGCCACCTTTTGTCTTCAATACTATGGCGATTCTTGGCATTGACTTCCCGAGATGTTGAAAGGTGATGTGAGGAATCTGACACCATACCTGATGAATGGCACTGTCCAGTTCTTCGAGATTTGATGGTTGTAGAACCAGCTGCCTGGTGGTTTTTTTAACTTTGTCCCACAAATGCTCAATTGGATTGAGATCTGGTGATTGTGGGGGCCACCTAAGCAAGATAAAGTCTCCCTCATGTTCTTAAAACCACTCCTGCACAATACAAGCACTGTGGCATGGTGCATTGTCTTGTTGGAAGAATCCATCTCCATTGGGATACGCCATCAACATGATAGGATGAACTTGATCAACAATGATACTTAGGTATGTTGGGTATGTTGTGCTATTCAAATGTTGTTTCACATGAATTTAAGGGCCCAGATCATACCAGGAAAACATGCCCCAAACCATAACATTGCCCCCACCAGATTGAAGGGTTGTACTCAGGCATGTGGGGTGAATGCTCATACTGTTTCCTCGAAATTCTCACTCTGCCATCTGCATGATGCAAATGGAAACATGATTCATCGAACCACATGACTTTTTTCCAATGCTCAACTGTCCAATCCTTGTGTTCCTATTTGAATTGGAGACGTTTTATCTTGGTAACTGCAGACAGCAAAGGTGTTACAAACAGGCCTTTGGCTTCCATATCACATATGATGCAGTGTATGGCTAATTTGCCTACAAATGTCAGGTGGTCATAATAATCTGGCCACTCAGTATATATGTGTCCACTCATTGGTATGTCTCATCAGCATCTTATGTCCTTACCTCCCTGGCTGAAAGGCTCCTACAGCCAATGGTAAATATAGAGACACATAATTAGTATATACATCATAATTGAGGGTGAAACTTGGGCTAAAAGAATAAAAAATACAATAGCACAGGGTGGGAGCCATCCTCATCCCCATCCTTAAAAAGAAGAGGAAACTAGTCCAAGTTGTAAACCCTGTATGTAATTACAGTGCATTTCCTTCCTTTCAAAAAGGAAGAAACTGAAACATTATTTGCAGATATTACAATTATCTTCATTTAAAATTGTCATTTCTATTAAATGTGATTATTTTAACCCTTAAAAATCTTCAAGTGATTATAAATTATGAGATTAATTAAGGTGACCTGCTATAAGATGGATATTCAAAATTCATTGCATCTTTATATTAGCAATAAAGATTTAGAAATTGTAATAAAAATGCCATTTACAACAGCAATGAAAACTATAAAGTACAATACCTGGGACTAAGTATAACAAAAAATTGCAAGACCTAGTCATCAAAATTTATAAACAACTCTATAAAAAGACATAAAAGAAGCTCAAAATAAATGGACTGATGTTACATGTTCATAACTAGTCATACTCAATAATCATAAAGATACCAACTCTTCCCAAATTTATTTCTAGATTCAATGAAACTCCAATCAAAATCATGGATTTTTCATTGAATTTGGCAACTGATTCTCAAATTTATATGGAATAACAAAGTACCAATAGCCAAACTACTCCAAGAGAAAAAATAAGGTGAGATTTGCCTTATCAGAGACTTGTTATAAAGACTTATTGAGACTTATTATAAAGCTATAGTAATTAAGACAGCATTAAGCATGATGCAGGGATTGACAAATTAACTAATTGAACTAAATGAGGGCTCAGAAAGAGCAACCATGTCTGCAATATCAAGGTGGTTTGTGGTATTTTCAAGTCAAATACCATGACTCATCAGTGTTACTTGTGGTGTTTTCAACTTAAATACCATGGCTTATCACACATATATGGAACTGAAGATTATTGAGCAAGAAGTGATTACTTAATAACTGGTTTGAAACAAGTGGTTATCCATATGCGGAACAGAAAATAGATCCATATTATATACCATACACAAAATAAAGTTCAGATGGATTGAAGACTTCCATGTGAAACACTAAACTTTTAGAAAAATCCGCAAGAGATTATCTCTGGAACTTTAAGGAAGTAATGGATTTCTTAAACAAAACACACACACACACACACACACACACACACACACACACACAAAACAAACAAAAAACACTAACCATAAAAAAGACTGACAAATTAGAATATATAACACTGATGTATTATTGAGTAACATTGAGAACTATCTGTCAAAAGAGATGATTTTAAAATGAAAAAAGCTACAAACTTAGAAAAACATTTATAATATATACAATCAAAACAGGATTCCTAACCAGAAAGTTGAAAGATTTTTACAAATTAAAAAGAAAACAAATGTACAAATGGTCAAAAGCCATACACAATCATTTGCAGAAGAAACATTGATGGCCAGTAAGCCTATGAGAAGATGCTAAACTTCATTAGTGATCAAGTAAAGGCAAATTAAGACCATGATGAAATAATATTTCATCTAGAGTGTTGACTTTGACAGTTGAATTGTAGTCAATTTCTCAGAGGAATTGAAATAAGCTAATTGAAATAAGCAAATATTCTAGAAAAATTGATTGTACTGTACAAAAAGCTGTTCCTAAAGTGTTAACAAAAATTCCTATTGACAGAGCATCTCATGGTAAAATTGCATAACATGTAATGAACCTAAAGCAGTCATATTTTAGAGCAAATAATTAAAATGTAAAAGCTATCAAGACTACATTATAAAATTTCCAAAAGCCTCCTAATATTTAAATTAAAAAAGGGGGTGATAGTGGAAAAATATCACGTAAGGAAAAATATCCTGCGAGTAAATTACATCTAGAAAATTTGTATTTTAGAAAATTAACTTTCTTGAAATGCTAACAGCAAGATACCCATGAAAAACATACATGGTGTCAAAACAAGCCAAAGAAAAATCGTTTGGGCAAAAAAAATGAAAAGGGATCTCAAGTCAAATTTATAGAAAATATCCCTTTATTAACTTTTGGTCGAGAATATGTTTCTATATTTTCAGAAAACAACTCCGAGACCATGTGGATTCCTGAAATAAAGAGGAATTGACAGGAGTGCTCCAGCCATGAAGACAGAAGAGAAACAGTCCATAGATGGAAGACGCTGACAACGCCTTGCCATACTAGCAGACAGCAGTTGTGCATCACTAAAGGATGCCCAGGACCAAACCAGAGACTTTCGGACCTGCATCACCACCATTTGTCCACAAACCAGATCTGAAATACCATGGCTGACATGTACACATAAGGAACTGTTTAACATTGAAATTGGGACTCAAAAGAACTGTTGGCCCAGAAAGGAATTCATTAGAGACTGATTCATTTGCCTCTCAGCATAACCATTATGGCTTGTCTAAGTTTCAGTTCTTATACGGTATTTCTTGTATCACATGATCTAACGCATCTAGGGGAAATAATGAACAACATAAATTGATGAACAGAAACAGACCCGGAGACAGAGAAGCAGTGATCAGACTGTCAAACCTC